ACCAAAAATTATTAGTTGAAAAAGATAAAGAGACTGGTGTTATACCATTGTTATTGTGTGTACAAATTGGTCATTTACAATCATTTCGATTAATATTTAAACAAATGTTAGGATTGAATGATCCATGATTATCGACTAATGTATTAACTGATGAGCAACATAATAATTTATTACATTTATTAGCACAAGATTGTTCAACCAATGAACAATTACTCAATGATCGTTCACAAATATTAAAATACATTGTTAAAAAAATATTAAATAGCACTAATGATTGTCAATTTTTAGCTATAATTAAATCAATGTTGAGTGATTTTGATAAACAAGATGATACACCGTTGCATATAGCTTCAAGGAATGGTTATGTTGAAATATGTAAACAATTGTTACTATTGGCAGGTGAATGCATATCTAGTCATGAATCAAAAACATCAACATCACAATCACAAACAGTAGAAGTTTCAGATGCATTGCGAAACCCAAGATCAGATGAACACACACCACCACTATCAGATAAACAAGTTGTAATTCAGAGATTGAGTCTGTCAGATGCACTCCATCAACAACAACCCGCAATATTATCTAGTTTGCTTTTACAACAACATAGACAGAGCGTAATTGATCAAGGTTATGTGAGTCATTAAAATCTTACCCTGTCCATAAAGTCTTTCCAATGCTTTTTTTAGCCTAAAGGCAGTTTTTTTATACAAAAAGGGGAAAGTTTCACAAACTTCCACTTCATAGTATGGCTTTAAAATGAGTTGAAAGAGCAAAAAAGCCTGAACAAAGTTATTTGTGAACAATGCCAGCTTGTCGAGCACATATTTCTGATCAAAATGAGACATCTGTCAGCTCTAGGCGCCTAAAAGCGCTAAAATACCATACATTAACACTGTCATATCCCAAAAGTGGCAAATCATTCTGCAGATAATACCGATTACAAGATTTCTTTCCCAAATTTAGTGTTGGAGAGCCCGGATCGGTCTTCAGATAAAGGTAGCGGTCATGGAAATGACGTAAGAGACCCGAATATCTGATTTAGATTTTTGATTTTCCGATATTCAGGTTTTTATCATCAAACATTTTCACATGATTTGAGGTTTTTGAACGAAAATCCGTGATTCTAAAACGTTCTTTTACAGCAAATAAGTGACCTCTCTGAGAAAGGTAAACGTGAGAAAACTCTAATTTTTTTTACGATTAGTGTTGTCCATTATTTATTTATGTTTTTAAAGCTCTTCCAATCAATGTTGATGGGTGCTCGTCTTATGAATTCATCATCGGCCATTGTTAGTAAACGTATGAAACTATTAATTTTAAAAAAAAATGGTGAAAAACGTTCATCAATCCATGAAGCTATATTACAAAATCGAATTGAAATTGTTCAGTTATTTTTTAAATCACCGTCATCAAAGAATCAACAACAACAGCCACTAGATGATATACAGTCAATGAATCAGACTGATTTAGAGGAAATCTTAGATGATTATGATGGTATACACATTCAAACATGTTTACATATGGCCGCTAGAGAGGGTAGTATCCCAAACTTTCATTAATATTACCCTTCTTACTGCTTCTCTATTTGGAGGATATCCTGAAATTGTTCAATTGTTACTTCAAAAACGAGCCAATCCCGAAGTACGTGATGGCTATGATTGTACCCCATTGCATTTAGCAGCTATGGGACAAAAAGAACAATCGAGTGTCGATGTTTTGGATAAATTTATCGCTCATAATTGTGATTTAACAATACGAAATGGTGATGGTTATAATTGTTTAGAAATAGCCATAATACATAAAAATGTTAGAAAATTATTAGACATACCTAAAGTAAAGAAAGAAGGAGAAGAAGAAAAAGGTTTGTGTTCTCTGTCACCTCATTCTGTTTGTTATTTTCAAACAGATACTAAGAAATTCATATCGAAATATGAGAAACAATGTATGTATCAATCTTAACTGAGCTCTAATCATCTTCAACTGACTATTTTTGCTTTACAGATATTGATGAAATTAAATTGTATAATGTTGAACCCGAATGGAGAAAATTATTGAGAAATTCACAAATAACAAAAGAAAATGGTCGAACTGTTGTTGATTCACCCATGCGAAAAATAATTCGTATAATGCCTAGTTTAGCTTATGAATTGTTACATAAGTTTGAAGCAGAAGTTGGTAATAAGCATCAAGCATTCCATTATAAATATTATGATTTTGAATTTATTGAAGACCAATGTTTTGTTGAACAATGGAAAGCTAATTTCAGTATGTAAATTCACTTTTTCAGTGTAAAAAAGTCTTCAATAGAAACGTTCAGTAGAAAAGTTTTTACGTCTTTTTCGTTGTTCGGGGACAAACAAAATTCACCTCTATCCTCAGTTCGTGTTCAGGATTTTGATTGTTTGACTTAAAATTCCTATTGTATTCAGCTGTGTGAAAAAATGGAAAAACACATTTTCTTTTTTGAGAAATCATTGTAATACAGAAAACAATTCAATTTTTCTTCATGCATTAAATTTGTTCAGAAATACAGGTCATTAATGGATCGATGTAGTTTCTCGATTCGAACAGAAGGATATCTGAGTTCCATATATTCAGAAATTTTTCTTTTACCAAGAAAACTTTAGTCTGCAGAAGAATTTTATTCAAAATCTGTCAACTTCTATTATTCCAAAATCTAAAATTCTAGTGACATAAGAATTTCATTCTTTGAACGAAAATCTTCGTCGCTGAAATTCTATCTAATTCATGAGAACTACGAAGTAAAATTTTCATATAAAAAAATAAAATTTGAGCATCCCAAGCAAATATCACCTATGAGAAAAATCTATATACATTTCGTCTGTAATCGGGCGATACACGACTAGTTGCCATCTAGATTACTAGTTGGAAAAGGGACTTTTAACTAGATGCGTCTGCAGGTGCATCTAGCAATAGTTAAATCGCTCGATTATCGGGCGATAAATCGATAGTTGCAACTAGAAAAAATCTAGTAATCGCTCAATTACTAGATCTCCACTATCGTTACACAGTAGTTGCAATCGAGCAAAAATCTAGTAATCTAGATGAATCGGGCGATACTAGATTTTTTTTTGACACATGGGACTCTTCGGAGAGATGATAACTCTTGCCCTAGACATCAGTTCTTATATATTCTTACCAGATTCTTATATAAGAAGTGGCACGAAAGTTACAAGAATCAGATAAGAATCGAGTAAGAATCTTATAAGAATTTCATAAGAAAGTTATAAGAGTTTTTATTGAGTTCTTATAAAATTCTTAGCAAAAACCTTTTTTCTGACCACTCACGATGATTTCCCCAGCAATTTTCTTGAGTTTTAAACAATAATGAACAAAAGACGATTTTTTCAAAAAGCCGGTCCGTTCAGGGTTCGATCTGTTGAGTTGTTCATGATAATTCATGGGTTCGCCTATTGAGATACTGTTGACACATTTATACATAACCATCGCTTCTTTATATTCTGCCACAATATATTTTTCAACTATGAACTTCTATTATAAGTAGTACATAGTATTTTGAGTATGGAAATGGTGTGTATCACAATGGAATATAATTTAGTACACCAAAATATTAAGTTTATGATAGTGGATTCTAGTCATGAGACTGCATTGTTAAAATTCTTTGACTTAATGAAAATCTACGAAGAAAACGTTATTTCTAAATCTTACTGAAACAAAACGAATAGAGAATAATTCTTGCCAAAATCGTGTAAGAATCCGATAAAGGATTCTTATCACTTTCTTATGAAATTCTTATAAGATTCTTATCTGATTCTTACAAAATTTGTGCAACTTTCATAATTTCTTCTCCTTATAGAAGTATCTGGTAGCAATCGGATAAGATTCTTATCAGAAATTTTATCGACGCAACTAAAAACGATGTGTGATTGACACTGTTATAAAAGACCATAATCAAAATTACACTCGAGCGAACTCCAAAGTTTTATATGCTTAATTTTTTAAATGTTTCATCAAACGAAAAAATGTTTTCAATTTCTACCATTTTTCTAGGTGATATTGATAATAATCCAAAAACGAAAATTAATGTTAAATGTTTTAATAAATGTTGTATGATTTGTCATTGTTCAAAAATTTCTTATTCTACTAATCATTTGAATATTTCGAATACATTCTTGGAAACTTATACTCATAGTTCGCATACTTTGATAACCAATCATATTCTAAATGTCTTAAGTCGATCCAGTGAAGATATTGAATTCAAAGATGTAGAAGCTGTTCAAATTCAAACAAAATTATTATATCATCCAGTATTTACTAAATTAATGTCTCGTAAATGGTATGGTTTAAATTTCTTTCTATATCTTTTAACACTGTTTTTCTATGCAACATATTTGGGTCTATTTACATGGGCCGTAATGAGAAATACACAACCTCATATATTCTACGATACTCTATTGAATGTAACAACATCTGATGATAGTCAATGTGAAGAAATTGCACGAATAATGGTAAAAACAAATAATCATATAAAAGATTCAATTGATTATGGTCTAAAGTACACATTGTATGTCCTTCTATGGATTCATATATTCAAAGGAATTCTATTGATTGTTGGTGTTTACCGATATAAAATCCATTGGAGATGTTATATGGAAGTTACTGCTTTAGTTTTGAGTTTTATTTATATATATGATACATCATGGCAAAATGAAGTACAATTGAGATGTCCAATACAATGGCAAATTGGTAGTCTGGGATTGTGTCTTGGATGGATAACTCTCTTGGCTTATTTAAGATCCATACCACCATTTGGGATCTATGTTATTATGTTAGAAGTTATTATACAAAAATTTCTTTGGTTTTTTCCCCTGTTGATTATTGTAATATGTAGTTTTGGGTTTTCATTCTATATGCTATTACAAAATCAAGTAGTGTTTGGTACAATATTTAAATCATTAATACGAACATGTAAGTATTTGGAATCTTTTAATAATGAATTTCAAACAGAAAATATGGAACAAAGTCTTACTATTTGAACTTGTATATTTTTGTAAAAAATTTTTCATTTTGAGTTGAACATAACACCTTAATTCTGATAATAATTTTTTCAGTTTTTGTTTATCTTCTATTAGAACAGCATCAAATAAATTTTTATGTGG